CAGATATCATTTGGTCTGTTCTTTTTTATAAGCATGTCCGGGACATGATGCATGCAATGATCAAGGCACTTCATGTTTCTATCTGGTCGCAGCGTTCGTAACAACAGTGACCATGGCCGCAAAATGCATGGTATACAATAATTCATATATATGAGATTACATTTTAGAGTAAACTACACTCAATGCCATTGAGTTGTAGGTTTAATATCAATTTCATTATCAACCTTCAAATTATTTCAATTCTAATATATACTTCGGTATATTTTTAGTGATCACAAAAAATTGTCATTCTTCGATATATTTTTAAACCATCTTAGATATCGATTAACTCGTGTCACAATCCTTTATCACATTGCCAACTTAGATTTTTTTAAAACCCCTTCAAAATTCATTAAGTTAAATAAAAAAACCTAAATATTTTTAAAAAAATTTGAGACTTTTTCAGATATGAGAATTTCGTTTAAAAATCTAAACCATAAAAAATATTTTTTCGAAAAAACAAACAACACACAAAAGTTAATCAAGAATGAAAATGTATAACGTAACTCCCGCCTGAATTCGAATTTGGCGCCAAAAAGTTCCAAATAACGGTCAAAAAGGCAAGGCCGTTCCCGACCACGCAAAGGGATAACCTTTAAAATTAAAATTTATTATTTCAACTTTTTTATTAATTAAAGAAACAAAAGTAAGCTGCGAAGTGGACCCGGATACCGAAGTGCTGAGATTAATCCACGTGTCACTTACTTGCCTCTTCGTCGCTGCAAAAGACCACCATTTCTAACCCTCCGTACTCTCCCCATCGGATAAAATGGGCCCCAGGCATTTTATCGATGTGGATATTTCGGTGATTATGTGGTCCCCATATATTCGGATTGGCGGGAATTTCACCGGATTCCACCCATACCCGAATCCAGATCTGGTCCCCCTTTAAGCTTTTTGAGTCTTTCTAATTCTCAATTAAAGTTTAGGATAAATTATATATTAACTCACCAATTTATTTTCACGATTTCGTTTTAATCATCTAATTAATTTTTTTAAAAAAAATTAATTTTATGTTTTATTCGTTCATCATTAAAAAAATTAAATATGATATTATAAGGTAATAACACATAATCTATTTATTTTATAATGATTAATATATAACATTAAATCAAATTTTAAAAAATAATTAAATGATTATAATAATATCAAAATATAACATTAAATATATTTTTCTTTAAAAAATTAGAGATTCAAATAAAAACGTAAGAATAGATAATTGATTAAATATATAATTTATCTTAATTTTAAGATGTGACAGACTCGGTTTTCGATGAGTGCAATGCACGTACTGAACGCACATCGTCTAAGGGGCTGTTTGTTTGCCTCTTAATGGAACTATTTAGCGCGTTTGTTTGGCACCTCTGAATGATTCAGTGCTAACTGATTCAGCAAAACAATGTTGAATGATTCAGCACAGAAGTACATTCTGAATCATTTAGAGCCAGTTATTAAACAACATGTCATATTCAGAGCCAAACCATTCAGAGCCTCTGAATCATTCATAGGGATGACAACGGGCCAGGTTCGAGCCGGGTATTGGTTCCCGTCTCCGTTTAAAAAACTCATACCCGTCCCCGCTTAAAAAACTACGGGGATTTAAATAGGGATCCCCATCAGGTAATTGGGGAAAACCGCGGGAAAACGGGTATCCCCGTTTAGCATAAACGGTTATTTAAACGGTTATCGGGCCTGGTATCGGGCCAGATATATATATTTAAATTAAATATATAAATATTATATATTTTTTAAAATTTAAATTAAATTTATTAATATTATATATATATATATAATAATTATTTTTAATATTTATTGGGTCGGGTATTAGGCCGGGTAATCGGGGCGGGGATTACTAAACCTGTCCTCGTTTAACATAAACAGTTTTTTTCCGTCCCCGTCCCCTTTTAACATAAACAGTTTTTTCCCGTCCCCGTTTAATTCGATATTCGGTTTTCCCCGTTAGGTTCGGGTTTTTGGCCATCTCTAATTATTCAACATTTAAATCATTCAACACTTAATCATTCTGAAATAAACCGAAAGACCCTAAATATTTTAAAATACGCATTTCCTTGACACTCCGAAATGTCGTCAGCCAACTGTGGTTCAAAATTCAAAACAGTTGAGGCTATTAAAGTTTATAAATAAACGGAGACTTTGTTGGTTTCTTTAAAGAATTGCTCATTTTTAAAACAATTTGAATTAATCTGATGATTTTTTAATTCATCATTATAAAACAATGAATAATTAAAAATATTTTTTATATTAATATCTATGTATTATTAATTCAACTTACCGGACAAGTTGACGTTATCCTATTGCTTTTAAAATGGTTTTGACTAAACGGGAAGGCCACGTCGGAAGCTGTGCACGACACGGTCTATCGAAACAGGAGATGGTGTCTTCTGTCAGGGATGCACGTGACTTGCAGACCACTGTTTAGGGTTGTTTATTATGACAACCTGTCAAATGAACATCCCTTGTATGACCGACACGTGCCACATCAAACATATATATATATATATTTAGAGAAAATAACTTCAGTGACAAAAAATACCTTATAATATACGATTTTAATCAATTTTTTTAGATTTACCAAAATGATCAACTAAATTGTAATACGATCGATAATTCGCAACGCGATCTTCGGTATCGTAAATCAGTTTTCAGATTCGCAACGCGAGCTTCGACTATCGCATTGCGATTTACATATTCGCATTGTGATAGTCCAAGTTCGCGCTGCGATTTATTCCAAGTTCGTTGCGATACTCTAAGTTCGCGTTGCGATTTATTATAAATTCGTTACAATAGTCCAAGATTGTTGCGATAGTCGAAGTTCGCGTTGCGATTTATTCCAAATTCGTTACGATAGTCCAAAATCGCAACGACTGGTGGTATTGCATTTGTTTCTTAAGAATTTTCTCTAAAAAGATAGTATTCGCGCGGACGTGTCGAAGACACATATTACCACGACCACAACCACGAGACGAGACGGACGGCGACGGCGCGCGAGAGTCCCCCTTATTCTCTATCACTTAACAAGGAAGTGAGAAAATCAAACCTTAAATATTATTCTTAATAATGTTTCCAATACTATGTGTGATTGAGCATTACCAACACTTGTTTCCAATACTACGTGATTATTCAGGAAACAATTAACAATAATGCACCTTAAAACAACTGAATCAGCAACCAATTGCATTAGTATTATACGATTAAATATGTCATAATTAAAAGTCAATCTACTTTCAATCGCGATTATTGCAATTTTAAGCAAAACATTAAAAAAAATTGCATCACTCGCGAGAATAAAAAAAAGTGTTATCGTGCAATTACAATTAATTGAAAATAAATTAGAATTGTATGAAAACTAAACGAACCACAAATACTTTTCATACAAATACTAAAGTCATTAACTATAATTCACAAATAATATCACTATTTAAGGCTCAATCCCATATAGTATTGGGAACAAGTGTTGGTAATGTTCAATCTCACAGAGTATTGAAAACACTATTAAGAATGGTATTTAAGGCTTGTTTTTCCCACTTCCTTGTTAAGTGTTAGAGAAAAAGGGGACTCTCGCGCGCCGCCGCCGTCCGTCTCGTTTCGGGTCATGATCGTGATCGTGGTCGATTGCGATTTGGTTGATCATTTTGACAAATCCAAAAAAATTGATTAAAATCATATATTATAATACATTTTTAATCTCTTAGATTATTTTCTCTATATATTTATCCATTTAAAAATAGCACGACCTCATAAATCCGGAGGCGTGACTCAACGACTTCGTATGTGTAGTGTTTGTGCGTTCCCAACCAATTAAATGCGAACACGTGAGATTCAAGTAGGGGTTGTTTGAATTTATTTAATATAAATCATGTAATATATAGGGTAGCCTTTAATGACTAAAGAATCTCATTCGAATTTCTTCTTATTCTTATTTTAGTTATTAAATTTTTAAAATTGTCAATTTATTCAGTAAAAATTAATTTGCTTTTATTTTGATCACTCAAGTATTAAATCATGGCAATCACATGTATATGGACTAGTTTTTATTGACATTAAATTCATGTGTCGTTCATGTTATTTTTTTTTATAATTTTATCTTATTACTCCAAAAATTAAAGTTTTATAACTTCATCGTCATGTCACATTGGTGCTAAAATCATCAATCTCTAATAGAGTCTCTAATCACTTGAGAAACAAATGAGCATCATCATTGTCACCTCTAATCCAATTTAGATATTCTTAAAATTACTTTAAAGCTCACGAAACTCAATCATAATTTCAAAATTCATAAAATCCTAAACAACTCTAATATATGATATCAAAATCAATATATATATATATATATATATATATATCCTCACTGTTGATATTTGAAAGAAAACATTTTCATTATCGAAAAATCAAAATGATTTTGAAACTGTTGGAGTTTTTTTAAATGAAAAATATTTGGAGGCTATTTCATGTTTTCTAAAAGAAAAATGATCAATAATAAAAATATTAAATATGTAATGACAGGGTGATAAAAATAGGAATAATTATTTTTTTTAAATTTAGTAACCAAAATAGGATTAAAAAGAAAGTTGGGTGATTAAATTTATAATCTACCCGAAAACCCAAAGAATACGCTCCTCCCGTCATTCTTAAGCACAGGTGACATCCGAGCTGGACTCATGAACTACCATAGTCGAGGATCTGCCGAAACGTGGAAATATTAAAGTTGATCCATCGGGTTTACGTGGAGCTAACAAAGGATCATTGACGTAATAAAAGCAGGTCACGCGGGCAGACTCTCCGGGCAGCCATTACTCACGCCATGTAACCTCTCGTTTTTCTAGAGGCGTGCTTTCAACTTCCAATATTAAATACCGTTAAACAATAATTAATCATATATATATATATATGGTCGAGCTGAGCTAAAGTACTTGTTTTTAGAACAGAAAAAAAGAGATCTTTTTTTATACATATTTTTGTTCGAGTTTGTGATAATTTCTGGGTTTTTCAAGGAGAGAAACATGGAGTGGTATACTTGTCTTGATGAATATGAGAAGCTTGTTATAAGAATGACAACTCCCAGGTTTGTTCTTGTTTAATGTTTCTTCTCCTTTTCCAATCTGCTACAACGAAGTTATGATTTTTAGCTGATGATTTCGTGTTTTTGCAGAGTGGTTATAGACAATGCCGTTTGTCCCACTGCAACTCTTGTCAAGGTTGATAGTGCCAGGAGAGAGGGGATTTTGTTAGACGCTGTTCAAGTCTTAGCAGATCAAAATCTTTCCATCAAAAAGGCTTACATTTCATCAGATGGTCAATGGTTCATGGATGGTGAGCTGAGTTTTAAAAGAAAGTTTTGATTTTTAAAGGTTAAAGTTTGTTCTTTTGATTGGAATTCTTGTGTGAAATCTGCAGTTTTCCATGTGACTGATTTGAATGGAAACAAGTTAACTAATGAGAGTGTTATAAGCTACATAGAACAGGTGAATTTCACTTAAAGCTTAACAATACCCTTGATTTTAGCTTAATTTTCTGTAAAAATAATGGATTAACCCTGGTTTTTTTGCTTGATTTTACAGTCCCTTGAGTCCTCTTTCCATGATAGAAGCCATGAGTTTAATGATTTAACAGTTTTGGAATTGACCGGAACTGATAGAGTTGGTCTCTTATCCGAAGTGTGTGCGGTTCTAACTGACTTGCAATGTGATGTTGTTGATGCTAAATTATGGACTCATAATGGTCGAATTGCGTCTTTAATCTTCGTAAAAGACTGCAATTCGGGGTCTCTGATTAACGACTCTGAGAAAATCGACAGAATTGAAGCACGGTTAAGGAATATTTTGAGAGGAGACAACTATGTTCGTAGTGTGAGGACTTCAGTTTCTTCGGATGTAATCCACCCGGACCGAAGGTTACATCAAATGATGTTTGCAGACCGCGACTACGAAAGGAAGCCTGTTTTGCTGTCTAAGACAGATTCGCCGGTGATGGTCTTCGTGCAAAATTGGGCGGAAAGGGGTTACTCGGTTCTGAACGTTCAGTGTAAGGATCGAGCCAAGCTTTTGTTCGATGTCGTTTGCACGTTGACGGATATGCAGTATGTTGTTTTCCATGCCACCATCAACACAGCTGGGGATAAAGCACATATGGTACTTGAATTATTATATTGTTAATCTTCTTCAAGGTTTTGGTTATGTGAATTCTATCACCGAATCAACTTTGTTATAGGAATTCTACATTAGGCACACAGACGGAATCCCGATTAGCTCTGAAGCCGAAAAACAACGAGTCATCCAATGCTTACGAGCTGCAATCGAAAGGAGAGCACCCAATGTACGTTCATAAACCCGAGCCAAATCCTTTCATTTTTAATGTTCATCCAATGTTGCAAACACTGATGCAGCAGTTGTGTGATTGCAGGGTGTAAGGCTGGAGTTATGCATACCAGATAGGCAAGGACTATTGGCATACGTGACCCGAACGTTCCGCGAAAACGGTCTTAACTTGACAAGAACAGAAATATCAACCTCTAGAGACACGGCTCTTAACGTCTTTTATGTAACAGATGCAATCGGGAACATAGCTGATCCCGAAATCATTGAATCGGTGAGACGAAAGATCGGTTCAGGAAACTTGAAGGTCAAGGAATTGCCATTGATGTATCCTGGAAAGGCAGAAAGGGAAGAACAAACAGTAGGAGGGGTCGGTGGGGCAGTGTTGTTATCACTCGGGAGCTTAGTAAGAAGGAATCTATACAATTTGGGGTTGATTAAATCACGTTCTTGAATCTCGAACTTCAAGTTTTAGGGTTTGACCTTTGTGTACAGATGAAAAATAGTATCAAGATTCGAACTTTAGACATTAGTGAGATTTGATGATGATTTTGTTGTAGGTACAAAACAAGGGATTGTAAAATGTTACAAGGACTCGTTTCGAACTTATTGGAAAGGGTAGTTTATGAATCAATTGAATTAAATATCGATTTCGATTGTCCAACAACACTTGTGCGTAAATTACTACAGTATTCAAACCAAGAAATGAAAGTGGTAGATGGTAGAAAAAGAAATTACAACCTCAAACAGCTGTAAAGAGTTTGTCGGATCCACACAATTTCAAAGACAAAACAAAAGAAAATCAAATCTTCATGTCAGACCTATTAATGTACCCCTTTTTTCCCATTACAGCAAAGATCTCCATTTTGTCACATGCAATTATAAGAGAGAATTTGTTTATTATTCCATTTCCAAGGCATTTGTGTGGTCCAGAATGGGGATTTTTGAAGAAAGAAACGGGGAGGTTGGTGGTAAACAACTAAGACAAAGCTTTTGACCTTAAAAATAACATGTTCTTTCTCTTCAACTTAAGACCATATGTATGTATTTTAGGAAAAAAGAAGCATGGGTTTTGACAGTTAACCACGTGAGCTTGACTAACTTGCCTTTAAGCACGCCGGTTATGACGGGTAGGATAGCTGTTCACTTTTAAGACTCGGACACACAAGGAGACAATTGAACGAAGTTCTCTCTCAAAATATGTTACTTATCAGGACGGGTCTAGTTGAAGATTGTCCTATCTCGAGTCCATATCGGATCGATAATATAATCACCATGAAATAGTACAGAGCTGACAGCCGATTACTAGAAATCGTCATATTAAATGTCCTCAGAGTTGGATTCAAAATCAGCTTTGTGAAGCGGAAAGCTTCTCGAACAGCCTTTTGCCTACTACAGAATTTCAAAAACTTTGCTTGATAAACCTGAAACCAAGTATTTTATGTTCTCATAAAAGAGAGTAACATTAACATCACTCCTTTTTCTTCCATGGAAAAACCAAAGAAATGTGGCTAAATTACCAACCCTACCTTATCCATATCCAGCAAACCGCTTTGTTCCATATGTTCAAGCAGATCTACACAATCATAGACCTGGCAAAATTTGACCGAACTCGATTATTAAAACCGAGATTGGAAATAGATTCAAATATGATAACTCAAATTTGACTCGGAATCCAAAAAAATCGAATCGAAATTTAGCCAAACCGAAAGTAACGTGAATTGAAAATAATCAAAACGACCTGAATTTCTACCAACCAGAAAGTAACCCAAACCAAAAGTAACCGAATTGAAAATAACATGAACCAAAAGTAACACAAATTTAATTTATCCAAACTTGATATGAACCGAACATTGACCCGATTTTAATCCGGTAATTGAGTTAAAGTGTATAAAAATACTAACATAACTTATTAAATTGGTTTTCTATTTATTTAAATCATATGATTATTAATGAGTTTATTGCATCATGTCCCCAATCTATGGCCCTCATTTCAAATTAGTTCTTAAACTTTTAAACATTTCAATTTCATCCTTAAACTATGACTATTATTCTAAATTAGTCATCAAACTTTTTGAATATTTCATTTTCATCCTAAATTATTCGCATATACTAATCACCTCTCTTGTTAATAAAATCATTTGGCAAGTCATATTATTATATGTTTGAAAATAAAGTAGGTTAAACTATGGTTGAAATGGATTACATATTTGGATGAAATTGGGGATGAAAATGAAAGATCTAAAAGTGTATGAACCAATTTAGAATGACATTCATAGTTTAGGGATGAAATTAAATGTTAAAAAGTTTAAGGATTAATTTAGAATGAGAGGCATAATTCAAAGATGAAATTGAAATATTTAAAAGTTTAAGGACTAATTTGAAATGAGGGTCATAGTTTAAGACATATGATGCAATTAACTCATTATTAATTTAATATTTTACTTTGGAAGTAGAAAAATAATTTTTCAAAACTATTAAATTAATTTACAAATTATTTTAATTCCTTTGTATATGAAAAAATATAGTTATTTAAATTTAATATAAAAATAACTTATTTTTATACTACACGAATAACTTATTTTTATAATATAAATATATTTCTATTTATAATTTAAAATTAAAATATTATTGATGATATAATAATATAATATCATTTATAAATATATTTAGAATAATATTTATTCAAACATAAATAATATATTATTGTACTTTTAAATTTAATAAAAACATTATATTTATAATTAAACGTTAAGTATCTAATTTAAAATTTTAATAGATAATAAAGTTTATAATAAAATATTTAATTTTTAATCAAATAGATCCTAGCATAAATTTTTTAGTCTAAATCAATAAAAATTATTACAAACTATAGCATATCTTATAGGTCGAGTTTGAGTTAAATTATAATTCCTAATGATAATTGAATTTGAATGTAATTGAACACAAATGATAATATTTAAAAAAAGACGTCTTTTTTAACAAAAAATATATCAATAATCTATATATACTTTACTCGAATCTTACCCAACTCAACCATAATTGATTTAAAGATCCAAAGTTAACTCAAATCGAAAATAATTGATCAGATAGTGACCCAAACCGAAAATAATCGATTGGATATTGACCTGACTCGAAAATCGATTGGATATTGACCTGACTCGAAAATCAATCGATCTGATTTAATCTGACCCGAAATCAATCGCTTTGATTTGATCTGACCCGAAATCAATCAATCTGATATTGACCCGACCTGATACCCGAATCGACCCGACTTACTATAAACCCGAATAAAATCGAAACCTGAAATGACCCGACCCAACCTGAATCGACCCGAATTAAATCTAAATCCGAAATAATCCGATTCGAACTCGATCCGAATGACTCGTTTACCAGCCCTACACAATCACTTAACCTATTATGAATAAAAACAAGATTAAGAGGTGCAAATAAATGGTAAAAAAATTATTATTAGAGATCACAACATGAAATCAAAATGTCAATGTCTAGTAATAAAAGTGATATTTCACCTAAACTTTATTTATTTTTAAAGACAAGCTTTTAATACAGTATTAAATTAGTCATACTAAATGGGGACAAAGAAAATTTCTGACCACGTCTTAGTAAATACTTGTAAGAACTCAAATGCTCTTCAAGATGATGCTTATTATTAGCAAGCTCCTCATTTGAGAAGGAAAACTACCCTAATTTTGTACTCTTCTCCTAAATTAAGAACTCAACATGAAGATAATAGAAGTTACCTTCCACGTTTATCGTGATTCCGATAATAGCGGGTGTTACTATTGTGATTATTACGACTATCACATTTGTATAATAATAGTTTAAGACGACCCATTTATTGTTATATAATGATCATTATTCTAATAACAAAAAGCTGTTTAAATCCCTGACTCCAAGTACATGACCTTCGAGCATAAACCGATCACCATCTCAGGCAATAAGCCCCACTCCCCCGACGTAATTATGGAGGGTAATATACATTCATATTCTCTCTATAAAAACAGAAACGTGCGCAGCTTCACTCATAAGGGGGGAAAATGTGCAGAATAATAGTAGCAGTAACGTGCTAATCAGCCCGCTAATCGCAGCAGCATGCTAGGTTAACAAAAAGCTAACGGGAAACAACAAACAAGAGAGATACGAGAGCGTCCAAGCAGCAAATGATTAGCACACATCGCCATCATCGTCATCATCGGGCATCGGCCACCGATTTTTAGGGGATAATGGAGGCAAATCATCAGTCAGCCATCAAAGCGATCACTTTGGTCCACTCTGCATGATTGCTTTTCGATACGTATCATCCCCTCTTTACTTTATCCAACACTGTTTTAACCTTCAATTCCCACTTAAAAGTAAACACCAAACAAATCCAATCTTATCTCTTTTTCTCTTTATTGTTTTGCTTTCAGCCTTTTAAGTTGGCGAGCTTTCTTTCATGTAATGATTTGATCGCTACTAGCAACGCCATGATATCACTCATTCTATATCATGCACTTCCACCGGACACCTTTTGGCTTTTACTTATATTTTGTTCTATCTTATTCACAAATCACACTTCTGCTCTTAATCTTCTATCTAGCAAGTTCTCTGTGTTGCGGAAGACGGCTATCGGATAGAACAAAATCGCAACTGATAATTTGAGAAAATAAAAATGAAGATAAAAGAGACACAAAATTTACGTGGAAAAGCCCTAAAATATTTAGGGTAAAAACCACGGGCAATGGTAGAAGAATTTCACTATGAGAAAATAGGAATTACAACATCTCTCGATCTACCAAGGAGAAAACAATGATAATTCTCTCTAGATAAAAAAGGAGAAAACAACTCTCAAGAAACTCTCTAAAATCTCTCTAGTATTGGAAGAAAGCTATAATGCTTTGGGATGATTTTGAAGCTAAATGAGCTAGAATATTTATAGTTGAAACCTAAGGACTAATTTGTAAATACCCTAAAATTTAGTGACTAAATTGAATTATCCAATTTTTTATATTTTCAACAAAAGGGGCCATGCACCTTTCAGTGCATTAATTTAGGCACCTTTCGGTGTTAGTCAACAATCTCACACTTGAAGATTTGATTAGAACAATCATATCTTCACACCATTCTTTCTACTTTGTACCATCATGTTGCTTACGTTTCTGTCAGGCCACAAGAGGATCGACACCAGCTAAATTTATCAGCGTTTATTGCCTTCGTCATGAAATCTGCTATATTGTCTTTGGTATGGATCTTCTGCATATCTACCGTCCCTTCTTCCACCTTTTCACGAATGAAATGGTATTGAACTCGTATGTGCTTTGTCCTTGAATGAAGTGCTTTGTCCTTGAATGAAATGTTGGATTCCTTGCTAGATGCAAGGCACTTTGACTGTCACAAAACAGAGAGACAAACTCTTGATTGTGCCCAAGCTCCTCCAATAGCATTTTCAACCAAATTGCTTCTTTACTGGCTTGTGTAGCTGCTACATATTCTGCCTCTGTTGTGGATGTAGCCACAACTGACTGTAATTTTGAAACCCAGCTTACAGCTCCACCAGCAACTTTGAACACATATCCTGTAGTAGA